AACAGAGCAGAAACAGGGCAAGTATACAAGTAGCCCTCCTGGTTTCCACTTGCAAATTCATAACTTCATTTCGAGCACAACAAGGGGATCTTGTGACTTTATTTCTTTCGTCCATGTTCAGGGTTCTGAAATTGTACACCGTTTGGGCCTGTGCGGTCAGGTCAGTACTACAACTGAATCTGTAACCAATTTCAGACAAGGCGAATTGGGTCCTCACTTACTTGTAGCACAACGGAGTTGACGACGTCGGCGTATCGGACGGGCGGGCACAACCTGGTGCTTCCAAAAGGATGTTCTGAAACCCAACAGCTGAACCTGAATTACTAATTACTGATAGGAAGATGGTTGCATGTTGTTATCTTGCTACATGTAGTCTAGAGCCTGTTACGGTTTGTTTCATTCCTATTTAAAAGCTGTTTGTAGGCTCTTTGCAGCACAAGGACCTACTGCACCAGTTGTGATTCAGAACCCACACTGCTTTGTTGTTACTGTGTGCTTGTGTCATAAGTAGAAAACTGAGAGAGAGAATGAATGGTTGATACCCTGGAAACCTAAGAAGCTACTAGTCAGGTTAGTTTCAGGTTCTGAAACTGAATGCACCGGGTCGAGTGTCAGTATTCAGTCTACAATTAGGCATAGCCTGTACCTGTAGTTAAGCAATGACTTTCTGGCTAGTTCTCTACTGGTCTTTTCCGGTATAAGTAATCGTTTTCGTGAGCCTCCGCTTGTTGATTTCGTCTAAAGCGATTCAGACTCGAGATTGGCTTGTGAGTTGTGACTATAAGAGAGAGAGAGAGAGAGAGAGAGAGAGAGAGAGAGAGAGAGTTCAGATAAATGTACCACCAACGTTAAATGCTCCAGGATTGAGGTTCTGAAACCCGTTCGTACTCTTGTTCTTTACTTCTTTTTTGCAAGAAAAATATGAGTGATGGAGAACAAATTAATATTTGTGCTGAGATTTTCTACTCTCGGGTGTACTACACCCGAGTTAGCAAAAAAGTTCATCAAACGAAATCCAAAAAATCTGAAATTTTGCTACATCAAACTTTATCATATGTTTGAGGTTCTTGCCAAGTTTCATCGAAAAATAACATCCGACGAGCTCTCACTGAAAAAAACAAAATCGCTGCTGAAAGTTTTGTGCACTGTTGAGCAGTGATTTTGTTATTTTTGGTGAGAGCTCCTCAGATGTTATTTTTAGGTCAAATTTTGCAAGAACCTCACACATCTGATAATGTTTCATGTTCCAAAATTTCAGATTTTTTGGACAATGTTTGTCCACATTTTTTCAATATTTTGCTAATTCGGGTGTAGTACACCCGAGAGTAGCCACTACTTTCCGTTCTGTTTTGCCCTTCCCTTACAACCACAGTAACAACAACCGAGCCGGCGACAAACGAGCTCGACGGATCTTCCTACTAGGCCCTCGATCACCGATCTCCTTAGAACCCGTGCTGCTTCGCTCTGCCCTGCTGTGGTCCGAGGTCCGGCGGAAACATGTGGTCGTCGCCGGACCCGTGGTGCGCCACAAGCAAGCTGCCCAACCTGCCAAGGATTTTTCTTAGTCCTGGGTTTCGACGGTCTCAGGATGTATAACCAGAGGCATCAGTTCGATGCACATGGTGAAACCAAATCATGAACAGTAAGGTAAGCCTTTATTTGCTGGCCAAGGAAGAAACTGACTTTGTGGGCTGATGGAGCTAATGAGGGGGTCGCAAAGTCAGCTTCTCATCCACCTTTCCATCTTTTGCATCAACCCGACTACAGACAGAAAGCGGTAACGTTAGGGCCTGTGCTACGTTATAAAGAAAAAAAAACTACATCTTAGCACGGTAAATGAAGGACAAAGTGAACAATTCAACGAATAACCAAATCAAACTATATGAGAGAGCACTATGGTCAGTAGTTGTAGACTGAATGACAGAGACCAGACAGTTTCTGGTGATGATATACTAGCCCAGTTTTCGGCACACTTGGTTCAGGGTTGATGAGCAAACTCAACTGGTTTGGTTAGACATTAGTTAGGTGCTTATGGCAAAAGAAGTTTTTTCATTATCCATCTTTAAAAGCAAAAGAAGTTTTACCATTTCTTTTTGTTCGTCTGAACACGTGGGCCCTTATTAGGCTCTGATTACCGTAGGAGTTAAGCTATCCAAAGAGAGAACCCAAGCCATTAGATTTCTAGCTTCACCTATCTCAAATATATATCACGGCATAGTCTCCATACTGAGATGGCTTTACCATCAATAAAGAAATAAACTGAAGCAACAGTATGGTCTAAGGCAATCAAGTGTAGCTCATACCTTCTTAGAAATGGCATTACTCAATGATTTCTCGAAGAGATGTACCTGAAATTTCATAACAGCACATACATTACAAGGCAAATTTTAACATGGTCCCTCTTACCTTCTTTTTTTACATGTGAGGTAAGAAGGTAAGAGTCAATCAAGCCATTCATTGATGAGATCAACGGCTAAGATCTATTTTATACTCTTACCTCTCATGTGAAAAGAGGGGGTAAGAGGGACCATGTTAAAACTGCTCACATTACAAAGTTAGCAAGTCTGTGTGTAGACATTTACATGAAGTAACACTACAGAAAAATCGGCATGCAGCCACTAGGATGCAACAATGGAGTAAAACACATACTGACCACTAGGATGCGGGTCTACCAGTCTCGACTACGACGCTTCAATCATTCAGAATTGGCTCCTGTTTGGTCGGTGGCTCTTGCTTGCCACAACACTCTTAATCTGGTCGCCAATTTTGGATGCAGGTTCACTCAACTCACACCTCTCATGCTCCGCTCTGTTGTTCTGTTCCCCACACAATCAATCTGTATTTTCCCTTCAAAAAATTTCCAACTATATAATAACCTTTATAAAAACATTTTTATTTTTTTGGAAACAACATGTAAACCAAGAGTGAGCAGAAATTGCATTAGCTGGGAAAGGTACAGCTGGGATGCCCACCATGAACTAGCAGAGCAGTCTCCACTTGTCCATTGACAAAATCTGCTCCAGGGGTTTTGCCCTTTACAACCACCGGCGACTGGGGATCTTCGTGCTAGGCCCTCGATCGCCATCTGCTGAGAACCCGTGCTGCCGCCTGAGGTCTGGCCATCAAGCAGGGTCGCTGCTAAAGCGAGCGTACGATGAAAAGCAGGAAGCGACTTGTTGGGCTGATGGAGCTCATGAGGCAGAGTTGCAAAGTAATTAAAGCCTCTCATCCAACTTTCCAACTTCTGCATCGACCCAACTTCTGACGGTGAGCAGTAGCGTCACAGCAGGTGCTCTGTTACGGAAAAGCCTCTCAGCACAATAAACGAATGACAAAGCGAAGAATCCAACGAATAACTAAATAAAGCTCAGACAGTACCGTCTTAGAAATGGCATTACTCATTAACTTCTCTCAAGCAAACTTCTCATCCACCTTTCCTGCCGACTTCTACGCGGACCCAACTTCTGACGGAAAGCTGTAGCGTCAGAGTCGGTGCTCTGTTACAGGAAATCCTCTTAGTGGCCTAAACGAACAACAAAGTGAAGAATTCCAAAAAACAAAACAAGTGAAACCATACAGCTCATACCTTCTTAGAAACGCCATTACTCATTAGCTACTCTGAAAGCTGTACCTGAAATTTTACAACAGCATACAAAATACAGAATTAGAGGCTAGAAGAGTATACAAGTGCCCTGCTGAGTAGATAAAAAGCAAGCGGATTATTCAGGTGGAATGGCGGTAATTTCGATGAACTGAACAATACAGAGAATGGCTTCGATGCTTCAGAGGTTCAAGGTAACACGGGTAAAGCTACATTTACATGTACTTACCTGATTTATGTACAGAAAGATGCCACACAAAAACCTCGCGTGCCAGATATGCACGGATGGATAAAATTCTACATTGTAGCTCAAACTTCAGATCTTTTGTTCACGAGGTAAACCAAGCCAGAAGAGAACTAAATTGACAGTCAGTTAAGAGGAGAAGCAAGGAGAATACCACTGATTTATTTTACAAAGAGTTAAGTGCTCTTACATATACGTACCTTATTTATATACAAAGGTCAAAGGAGGATGCCACTCAAGTCTTGGTTGCACGAAATCAGAGAATTCTACAAGGCTATAAGAATTGACAGATTCAAGGCAACCTGGCATGGTAGATTGAAACAAACATGGTTCAGAACTTTAAATAATCTGGTAACAAGGTAAACTAAACCCGAACAGACTATAGTTTACGGAACTAGGGATGTATGTGATGATAATGCCTGTACTGACCAGTTTCATGTGCAGATGTTAGATGCATACTGAGACCTTTTGAAGCTTGTATTGGCAACCTGGAAGCATACATGCTTGGATTCTAAGAGGCTAGCTAGAAGAATGTACAAGTCAAGGAAGTGCCCTGCAGAGTAGATAGAAAAAACAAGTGGGTTATTCAGCTGAAATGGCAGTAATTTGGATGTACTGAACTAGGGAGTCCGTCGTCCTTGAGCAACGACTTAAAGGCAAGGCAGCCATGGATGTACAATTGTTGCAGAGAACTCGGGAGTCTGTCCATAGGCAGCGACTCGAAGGCATCACAATTCGAGATGTATAATACTTGCAGAGAAGTCGGGAGGCCGTCCTCCGGCAACGACCGGATGGCTTGACAGACAACCAGCCGTAATGTCTTGAGGTTGGCAAGTCTATGTAGACCTGCTGGGAGGAACTGCAGCTTCTTGAAACAGGAAAATACGAGCGTGTGGATGGAGGTGAGGAGCTGAAGGGCCTCCTCTTGCTCGTGTGTGAAGCACTCGACATCTTGGTTCGAACCAAGTCGTAGGGTGGTGAGGGAGGGAGGAGGCTACAGATATGCGCAGTAAGGAGTCCTGCAACATCGTCTGTGCTTAGCTCTCTTGGTGTGCAGAGGAAAAGGGGAGAAGAAGCCCCTTGTTAGAGGCGAATACGGGGTTTTCGTAGATGCAGATGTTTGTGAGGTGGCCTTGGGCGAGGAGAGGGACTATGCTATCCCACCTGATGCAATGGTTCAGCAGAAGAATATACTGATGACTGTCCCACACCGAGCCATTTTATCCCCTGACAACGCCCTATTGTTATTTGGGTGAGCTCTGGCATAAGAGAGAACAGTAGTGTCAATTCCTTGCCGCTGCCACCACATTGCTCGACACTTAACCTTTTGATAGGTAGCTGGCATCGTACATGGCCCACGCTTTCAACCATGGATAATATATTACTTGAGTTACTTATCTGGAGGGATTCCAGAGATTTTAGCATTAGGAGGCGATCGAGCAGCAGAGGAGAGCAACTTTGCATCACCAATGTTTTCAGATAAGTTAGATTTGAGAAGACCAACCCATTCAAGAACACACTATCCTGGCCATATGTTCCCTGCACTTCAAGTGATGAAGTTGAGTCTTCTTTGTAAACTAGCCGCTCAAGACCGGAGCCCACCCTATTTATCACAGCGGAGCACGGACCACAAGTCCAAGGGATTGGAGGCAATGACATTAGCTTCGGGCAGTTGTGTATCCCGAGAGACTTTAGTCTAGGAAACCAAGATATGCTCTTCTGTTGCTGTCGCAGACCACAACTAAGATCTGGAAAGCACAGCTCGGTAAGTTCAGAGCAATCTTCAATGGTGAGTTCTTCCAAGTGATAGAACAAATGACAAGTATTGTTGTCCCCAACCCATTTTCTCAATCTTGGTATTTTAACCAATTCTAGCCTTTTCAAATTTTGAAATCCTTGGCCTAAGATACAGTCCTTGTACACTGCACCAAGATCATTGACCATCCACATCTCTCCTAAAGGTGGAAGGTTTCCCCAAGACAAATCATACAGATAAAGAGATTCCAGATTCTTTACGGAGAGGTTTACACCTAGCCATGTTGGACAATTAGTTCCTCCATGCCCTTTAATGTATAGGTGTTGAAGATTGCTATGTGGTACAAGGCGTTCAAGAACATTTTCTTCAAATGTAGGATCCCTGTTAGATCGCTGAACATACCATTCTAATATTAGCTCTTGCATGTGGCTTTTGTGTATCAGTCTTGATTCAGTTGCTTCTTCTTCTGATTGCACCTTTTCAAGATTGTAAATGCCAAGCAATCCTCCAATATTTTCCAGTTTCCCTAGTTGACTCAGTTCAAACATGTTGCTTTCTTGTCCCACTCTAAATGTCTTTAACTCATTGATGAATTTTAGTTTTCCCACCTCAAATATGTCAGAATGAAGTTCTTCTCGGGGCACAACAAAATGACCTAACTTTACAAGGGTGCTAATATGCCTTGTTGAACCAAAGCGCCCCCTCCATCCTTGTAGATTAATGACTTCCAAATGATATAATCTACACAGCACACCAGCTACACACAAGCCCTTGTCATCACCAAAACCAGCTAGCTTGAAGTAGCGAAGATGGACAAGTTTTGAAAAGTTAGGCAACACATCCTCCAGGTTATATGATGCATCAGACAAAAATACAGTACGAAGGGCTCTAGCTTCCCGAAACAAACCACAGAAAACCCTAGAAAAGGTTCCGTGGTATTGTCCAAACAACATTAAAGTGTGTAGGTTTTGAACTTCAAGCCTTTTTTTCCAGCGCACACAAATCCCTCTTGTAGTTTTCAAAAGTCATGGTGTCCTTGACGTCTGCATCATCCACAATGATAGACAGATGCCGAACAAATGGGGGAATTTGTATGCACATCACATTGGAGCTTGATATGCTAAGACACTCATATGATGAGACCTTCGCAACCAACTCACGCAGTAGATCATGGATGGTGTAATAAGGACCGCCCAATCTCGATTCATTCTTTTTGAAAAAACCTTGATTAACCAAGTCAGTTAAGTAACACAATCCAACATCTTCGACTCTTCTCTTTTCATCATCTGAGTGTAAAATACCTAGGCCAATCCACAAATGAACCAACTCTTTTGCATGAAATTCATAATCTTCGGGAAACAATGCACAGAAGGAAAGACATTGTTGCAGATGGAAAGGGAGATAATCATAGCTAAGCTTCAGAGCTGGCATAATGTCATTATCGCTAGCTTGTGACTCCCACTCTTTACTTTCCCAAACTCTCATCCAATGGTCAAACGTCAGTTGCTTCTTAAGAAATCTACCCACAGTTTTTGCAGCAAGAGGGAAACCCTTCAATTTTTTCACTATTTTGCAGCCAACATCATATAGTTCAAGATGATCTTGCCATGGTTGCTGTTGGTCACCAAATACACATGCTTCAAAGAAAGACATAATATCTTCAAGACCTAGATGTTCCATTTCCTGATCATGTTTGCTACCCCTGGAATTCGAGTTGTGACTATAACCATATTGCCTTCTGTCCCAACTTTTTTAAATGGAGCTAATAGTTTTTTCCAGACATCGTCATGATATTTCCAGACATCATCCAAGACAAGTAAGAACCTCTTTGATCTTAACCTTTGTTCAATTTGCTCTTCTTTGCTACTATTTTTTGGAACCTTGACCGTAGAACAAATCGTTCTACGGTATTCTTCTTTGCTACTACCATTTTTGCTTTCACTGTTGTTATCTTTAGGGAACTGCTCCAAAATCTCTTGTGCCAAAGTATCGGCAATGAAGTTGAGAGACACACATATCCAAATTGCAACCTGGAAACTGCTCTTCACTTCTTCAAATATGTGTTGTGTAAAGGTTGTCTTCCCAACACCCCCTGGCCCAACAATTGGAAGGACAGTAAGTTGTTTGCAAGAATATTCACCATGGGTGATGGCATCGCCTTGAGCGGAGGGTTAGTGATGTCCCTGCCGTGCCCTTGGGCGTTATTGAGCATCCCCTGGGCGTAAAGCAGCTGCATCTTGAGGGCGTCGATGTTGGGGCCGAGCCCGGCGCTGGCCGCCCATGCCTCCAGCAAGCCGTCCGTCACCGGGGCCAGCGCCTTGGTTACCACCCACCATGCTGCGCTGACGGCCACCTCCATAGCCGTGTGTGCTGATGGATGGATGTGTCTTAATTTGCCTGTTGCTGATGGAATCAACAACTTGGACCTGCAGGTAGAAAAACAAACCCGCCCGTTTGCAGTTGATTAGCCAATGGCAGCAAGCGATAATAAAGATATCATTAATTCATTATATGTAGATTTTTCAGCCAACCTTACAAAAACATGCACGCAGCACAACACAACTTTTCAGGTTTTCTTCTTTGCTTTATATAGGAGTTTACACAGCCAACTCGACAGAGTGCAACACGCAGCCCCCAACACGACGCCACCCAGATTACAAAGTCCGATTTAAACTCAACACCAAAATGAGAAGCAACATTATTTTTTATGAAACATTTCGTGTTTCGCTTCTATACTGCCAGGCCAGAGTACACTGTTGTTTGAAAAATAGGTTTTTTGCCTTTTAAACTTTTGCAGGTTTTGACGTGTTCCCCTGTGAAACATGGTGCAATGTTTTCCCTCTGTATCATCAGGACGAATCAGCAGTACTAAAAATAAAAATATTATGATGTAAGCATATAGTAATGAATTCTATGAGATGAAAGCAATATTTAAAAGAGAAATTGTCACACACAAAAAAACTAGCTAGGATGCATATAAATATTTTCCTTTAAGGCCTCCTTTGGTTTGAAGGAATTTTGTAGGAGTTCTGTATGATAGGATTTCTATAAGAAAAATTCCTTTAAAGTCCTTTGGTTTGTAGGAATAGAATCCTATTCCTATGGAGGAATTTTTCCTATCCTCCACACTTTATAGGAAAATAAACACTAGCCTAGACTCAATGAAAAAATTCCTATGATGTGAATCAAAGGACATCTCTCTTCCTATTCTTACTCATAGGATATGCGATACTTGAACCAAAGGAGGTCTAAGAAGTTCTACCTGAGAGTTGTATCTAAGCTTCACGTTGGCTGTTTTAGAGCTGTTTTCAAATGGCTAATCAAGTAGTGGTCCGATTGCGACACCTTCTTTAATTATTCACTGTTTGGTGGCTCTAGAACACTCTTGAATGAGCTGAGCCGAGCCGAGCCTGGAGCGAATTCGGGATGCAGGTCCCTTCTGCTTCCTGACATAATTTATGTTTAGTATTAATTTGAACTAAAACCATGTCACTTATTTGTAAATGGAGGGGGTACCATTTATTTTCTTCATTTGTGAACTATACTTTCTCATGATAACATCCACTAAATGCAAGCTGCAACACACCTTTGTTCGTAGCTCCACAAATGTGAGAGACGGATCTTGCTTGGCCCTTGCTCGAGAGCAAGACCTGGATAGATATCCCTTGCTGTTTGAGAAGTAGAGGTGAGCAGAGCGCGAGACCCTTGGAGACCCGCTAGAAGCGATGCAGATCCAGCGAGCGAGATATATATGCGGCAGTCGTCATCAATGCTGGTACTGAAAAGAAGCATGCATATAAAATTGGTCCTCTTTATTATGAAGGTCCTTTTACACATCAATAATTCCATGCTAATAAGGAAGCATAATCAGATTCACTCACTAGGGACCAGCAACAAATCCAAAGGGAAAAAAGTGGCCTGCAAACAAGAAGACAGTGCACACAAAATTGGCTTGAAGTGAAATCGATATCAATGTAACCGTGAACAAACACCAACTATTTGAACGGAAAGGCACACAAAAAAATAAGCGTGGTGGAGATGAAATCAATTAAGTGTACCTTGAAAACCAACTGGAGAGATGAGATACAGTTCTTGGTTGGCCCTTGTTCTAGAGCAAAAACACGAAATCAAAATTAGTCCTCTTTATTACCGCCTTTCACACATCAATGGTCACAGTAAGATTCAGTCGGTAGATTCTTTGTAAAGGGAAAATGTGGCCTGCACACAAAACTGAGGGGATCGACAATTTTCAACTAGTGTGCTGGAGCTGGAATCGCGGAATTTACCTTGAATTGGGCGGAGAGATGAGGGAAGGATCCCTTGATCCAGAGGAAAAAGCTAGCTAGATCTCCCTTGTTCTGTGAGAAGTAACAGTGGTCCAGATCTGGCAAGTGAGCAGACAAATCTGGCAAGCTTTTCTTCTTGTACTAGAAAAGTCTGAGCTTAGTTTGGACAGCACATCGGAGCTTAAACTAAGAGAAAACAAACCGAAAACCCGGTGCTTTCCGGTAGACAGATCAAATGAAAGCAGAGATATGTAATAAACAAGTCCCCATTCAGATCTGAGGATCCACTAGGTGGAAGGAGGGGGTCCTCACCTCCTTGGGCGCCGGCGGCAGTGCCGGACGAAGTGACTGGCGGCCTAGTGCTGTGTACGGCCGGCGGCGACGCGTCTGGTCCCGGCGGAGGCTGAACCACTGGAGAGGGAGGGAGTGGGGAGTGGGAGTGAGGGGTAGGGCAGCAAATGGAAATGGATGCGGCCGGAGGAGCGTACGCACGGACCGCACCGCACCTGTTGATGAACAGAGGAGATGGGACCCTCCCCTCCCCTGTAGCCTCCGATTCATTCCGATGATGCCCGTCCCCGACCCAGCCCCCGAGAGAGATTCTTCCTTCGCCGGCGGCAGAATGAAGCGGAGCGGAGGACTCCTTCAGCCGCACTACGTACCTTCATTCTGCACTGTATTTCTATTTCTGTGTTGTCACCTCGTATTGTACACTACCGGCCGCCGTACCTATACCCGCGCGCATCCAGAAAAAAAAAACACGATCTGCCGCCTGCCGCCCGCGTACAGGGAAAAAAACAGAAAGTTAGACGATCTAGCCGCCCGCCCCGTGATCACGCTCCTCCCGATCCATTTTCCAACCGGCCGATCACCGCCGGTGGCCGGAGGTCAAGATGGCAATGGCCCCCGAAACCCGCATCCCCGCGGGTTTTTACCCTATTAGGGGACGGGGATGGGCGTCTTTTTAACCCCGCGGAGCTGCTACTAGGTAAAGTATAAAACCTGACACATTTCGCGGGTTCAAACCTGTTTGAGCAATACCCGAACCCGAAACCCGCCATCCCCGTCAAAATACTATATTAAGTCTAATTGGACATCTTGTTGAACCATGTATGCTGAATAATGCTCATGTTTGTTGCTGAAATATCCTTATGTAGCTGTTGTTACTACTTTTTGTAGATGTTGTTATTGATCTTTTTCTCAAGTTATGCCGCTAAAATATGCTCCTTGTAGCTGTTGTTATTGATCTTTTTCTCAAGTTATGCCGCTGAAATATGCTCCTTGTGGCTGTTGTTATTGCTCTTTTTGCTCAAGTTATGCTGCTGAAATATGCTCCTTGTAGCTGTTGAACCATGTACTATTGTATGGTGCTGAAATTTTCGTAGGTTATGTTGCTGAAATGTAGTGTTTTTGCAGCTGAAATGTTATTCTTTGCTGCTACTATGTTTGCTTAAATATGTTGATTTCCCCGTGGGTTCCCCGTGGGTCTAGAAAACCCGATGGGTTTAGGGGACGGGCAAAAAACTAGCCCCGCGTATGGGGACGGGGACGGGGACGGGTTTGTGATTTTCTCGTGGGGATGGGTTTGGCTAGGCAAAACCCGATGGGTTTCGTCCCTGTTGCCATCTTGAGCCAGAGGTGTGGAAGAACGTCGTCGCTTGGTTGAA